TTTTTTGAGTGTCCAAGGAATGTTAAGCATTTTTCTGTAAAACAACATCTCAAGACGTTTGGCAAATGCATAGTTTATCGAAGAAGTAGCATACAACAGTAGCCTGTTAGGACAGCTTTGGTGTGCCTATTGTTCGAATTGGGCTGGAAAGAACTTAGTATAATTTATAATAATTGCGGATACAGAAAATGGTGAGTGGCCTGCTGCACGCAAAGGCGCGCGCGCGAACACACACACACACACACACATTGGTGAATGCTTAAGTAGTTAATTGCATGTGCAACTACTAGTCTGTTGCAACTGCTTCCATTGACAATGAGCTGCATTTCTGGTGTCAGACTGTTTGTGGTGGCACTTCTGATAACTGCCTTACACGTGTAATATGCTTGAATGCTGTTGGATTTGCTAAGACTGTAGTCTACATCAGTAATACAAAGGAGCGGGACATTTCAGTGGTGATCCATTGGCTATGAGATGGAACAAGATGGATATTATAATTTAGAAATATAGAGAAAGCATTGCAAGTCAAGTTTTTTTAAAACATATTAGAGGCCCTATAAATTGGTTCCGCTGTCCATTAAATGGGAAAGACTGCTCTAAAGAATTGCTAGGCAAGGGAATTCACTCTATATCCCCATGGACAGGGCATCTTTTTCCCAATAACTTTGCCAGCACAGCAGCCCCCATAATCTATTTATTTGGAAACTTATAACTGCCAAAAGAACGTTTACATGCACAACTTATGTGTGGCACCTTATGCTTTTTTTTTTTTTTTAAACAGATATCTAAGAAGGAAACCTGTGGTTGCTGTATCCTATTTATGTTTTCTTTTAAATTAAATTAATTATTTTTTTTTAATCATCTACAAAGAATGTAAAGACTTTTTTTGTACATACAGCTTGTAAAGTTATAAATTATTATTTCATCAAGCTGTATTCACATTGCTCCATACACATTCTATGTCTTACGCGTTTGTGTGTTACTAATGAACCAAAAAAGTATCTCTGATTTGACCTTGGTGAATTGTTTATAGCATTCATTCAGTTATAGTTATGGTGTATGACATCACACTATGTAGGGTTGCTTGTGGTACAGATGATTGCCTTGAGCTAGTGTATTGACATTGTTTCATTTGTATTATTTATAACTGAATATGTAGTTTTGCTTGTAGTTGTGTTTTGTTTTGTTTTTAAAGTAGATTATAGTCATTTTCAGCTTGCATTTGAGATAGCAGTGTGGCTAGTTGAAGCATTATTTATTTGAATGTTGATTAACTATTATTATATTTTAGTCGCCTTCTTCTTGTAATTTCTGTGTTCTTCTGTGTGCTGTCTTCTTTTTTTTCTAGTTTCTGTCTTCTTCTTCTACTGTGTTCTGCGTTCTTCTTCTGTATTCTGTCTTCTTCTTCTTTATTCTATCTTCTTCTGCTTTACCCTTAAAAATGTGGTTGGCACACTGTGTTGTGATTTAAAACAAAGGTGCGATGTCTGTGACACTGGGCCAAGCATATCTGGTTCCAGAAAACTCCTAATTAATCACCTTTTGAGACCTGCCCACTCCTTGTGGGTTCCCATGTCCCATTTTGGGGGGAAAGAAAAAGTACACCCATTGCACCCCCCCCCTTTTCCACACACACACACAACAAGCATATCATAAGAGGTAAATAATTAAGGGTGATTCCTTCGAAGTCAGAGTGCATCTATCTGAGAGATGAGGACACAGCAGTCTGCATATAGGTCAGCCAGATCTGTAAAATATTCTGTAACAAGATCAAAGTCCAAAAGCAGACAGACAGTCAGAACTATCTGCCAGTTTACAGTTGATAAATAGAATTTACACAGATGAATTCTAAGGAGAAAGAAGTGAAGAAGAATAAGCAGAAGTCTTGCCCCTAATGAAGGGGCAAAAAGGCCCCTGAACCAACACAAGGAATGAATATAAAGAGTAGGATATAGAATTTTCTTTACATTCAGACACCTGCTTCATGAAGTAGGTTGCCCTTATGCCCATATTAAGAAGGAAAAATATATTCCATTACTGTAAATCGAATCTCATGCCATTTTGTTTGTAAGTGATTCATCATGAATCGTACATAAAGCTGCTGTTGGCTTTAATTCTCAGTCTCTTTATTAAACCTGGTTTTTTTTTTTTTTTTTTTATATTTTGTGTTGCTAGGTTAGGAATATCTTAAAGCAATTGTTTATGTAATTATTAATAATTATTTGCCTTAAATAGTTTTGTTGCTCATTAATAGCAACATTTTTTTCTTTGTGTCAAAGCTTTTTTGTATTTTCCATATGTATTTATTCTTTTAATCTTGCTTCATGATTTCTGTATTGTCAGTTTAACCAAAGTAATCATTTTTTTTTAGTAACATCTCAGACAGCAGTATGAGTTTTTACCTTCCTGGTTCATTCTATTAACTGCCCCAGTTACATGCAATAATTACTAGGGCTGTACCGAATAGTGATTTTCACTATTCGGCCGAATACGAATAACAAGATCAACTATTCTGACGAATACGAAGTGTATAAAACATATATATATATTTTTAAAAAAAAACATTCATAATGTCAAACGTACGCTGAACTTTTATTTCACATAAAGTAGCACAGAATAGTCATCTTCTTCTTTAGCATTTTGAGCCCTTGAGGTTTATTGCTGCAGAAATCACTCGTCTCCCTTCATCTCTCTGGCTGGCCTTCTCTTCACAATTTGCGACACCAGTTGTTTGCAGGTCTGGCTGGGCATTATCTCTCGATCTTCTTTTTTGTCTGCCTCGTGATCTACGACCATTCATCTCCCCTGTCTATACAGTTTTACTTCTCTGTCATCTGACATTCCTTCAATATGCCCCAACCATTTTAGTCTGTAAGCTCTCATGATGCCAGTAATCAATACTGATTTAAACATATAAGTGTTACCTTGTTGCTTCTCTCTCTCTCCATTCCCCGCTGTTAGCATCTTTGATGGGTCCACAGATTTGTCTCAAGACTGTTTTCGAAAACCTGTAATAAGGCCTCATCTTTTTTATTTCTGCTTTAAGTTTCAGAGCTATATAAAACGACTGGTCTTATCAATGTTTTATATATTTTGATCTTGGTGTTGTGAGACAGACACTTTGACTTAAGCAAATGTTGAAGGGCATAGTATACTTTATTTCTACATTGTATTCTAGATTGTGTGTCTTCTCTCACACGTTGGAGCAGTTGAAGTTTGTTCCAGAGTACTTATTTGTTTCCGTTCGTTTTATTTTCATATTATCAACTTGGATGTGGCTGTAGTTTATATTCTTTCCATGTCTAGTTAGTATTCGTACAGAATAGTGAACATTTAAAAACATTTTATGTTTTGCATCTTTCAGTCAGTCTGTGGTAACTAATAACTAGGAATGAAAGACTCCTAAGTATTATAACAAGTAACTAAATTTAAAATTGTCACTGACAGCTTAGTTAATGCATGGAAGCTGCATTAGCTTTCAACAAAACCAATCGTTCCATGTTGTCAAAATTAAGGCCGTGTATGCATAAGCGGGTGTAAGGTAACTACTATTCGTATTCGGCCCGACCGCAACTATTCGGCTGAATACCGAATAGTCAATAGGTCCACTATTCGGCTCCGAAGCGAATATTCGGTACAGTCCTAATAATTACTATAACACTGACTATCGCTGCATCAAAGCAATAGACATTTTAGGGTGAAGATAACATATTGATCATAGGTTTGTATCCCACATATACAACATTTTTAAATTTTTATATCTGGGTCCCGGTCTAAAATCTATCGAGAGCCACTGTGGTGTAGTGGCTAGATGCTTGCCTGCTGATCCGAAGGTTGTAGGTTCAAGTCCTGAGGCAGCCAGACTTTTCTTCAGACATGACCTTGACTCCCAAGTTGACCCAGGGTACCAGGTGAAGTTCCGGGAAGTGAGGGGGGAGGGGTGGCATGATTTTGGCCAAATCACCCAACAAGTGCCGATTGGTCTATATCTATATAGATCTAGCACTATATGCCCATTACATCTAAAGCCCTGGAAAAGGGTCCTTTACTTGAAATAGTAAAAATGATATTTGGAAATATTACAGGAAATAAAGGCAACCAGCGTGATACCGACAGCTTGAATTTAATTTTGGGAAGTGTCCTGAGAAATCAAACTTACCAGCATGGTAGATGGTATATATCAAGTGTTGTGTACGGACATGCGACTGGCACTAAATGTGAAGTCTGCTTCAGAATATGGACATTTTACTTAGAATAGAGGTTTTTGAATAATACCACTACGGGACAAGAAGAGCTACACAGTTCTGATAGAGAAGGTTGATGTGTGAGTTGTTTGTGATAGCAGGAACAACAAAATCCATACTTCTTTCATCGCTTGCTGCTGAAAATGGGGATGGAGTGCTTATGGGAGTGTCCCGAGTGATATAATGTCGATTCCTTATTCAACCATCTACATTCAACATTCATTTAACATTAATAAGGAAGTTAAAAAAAATGTATTCAACATTCACACTAATAAATAAGCCAGAATATGATGTGATGCATGGTACAAAGACAACTCATAATTTGAACAAAGAAGACACAAACTGTTGATTTCATAATTTGTTGCCTGGCATATTTTTCAGATGCATACTATAGTTACACTTGAAGACAATGAAGCAAATACATGATTCCTTCTAACTAAAATACAAAATCAGCTACACTCAAAAGTTACTGCCTGTTTTACCAGGGCAAATACAAAGGTTCACAACAATGTCTTTTTATCTGCACAAATCTGGATGAAAGCAATTTGTTTGGTTCATTGTATTCAATTGTTACTGTAGTGTGCATCTGACAAGATACATAAAATATGCCAGGCCATAAATTAATGCAGTTTATTGTTTGTGTCTTCTTTTTTAAAGTTTAAAATGGGGAAACGTTGTTTTGACAACTCATTCCACACACACACGCACACACAAAAAATAACATTTGGACATAAACTTAACTTCTATCTGTTGCAGGCCGAAGCTTGAATGTGAAGAAGAATGATGCCATTAAAGAGTCCACAGAGAGTAACACTATCGAGGATGAGGACTCTAAAGGTAATTGTAATGTCATTGCACATATTAGTGTTTTGTGTTGTATCAGTGTTGACTTCTCTTATGTTGGTAATATTAAATATTCTTTGTCAAAATCTTTTGCAGCGAACCACATATGCCACCACTCGCTATAGACACAGTCACAACTATTTAAGTACTAATTACAGACTATACACCCCCTTTAAAAATTCTTAAAATGCATTTGTTTTCTTTTATGATATATATCCCTTAACCTTATAACAATTACTATAATTATAATTAGTTTTAGTTATGTAGTAATGATTGTATGCTTTTCTCCGTGCAATTTTACTGTAAATATTAGTGTAGTTAATGTTTAACATTAACATTGTTAGATATGTATGAATAAAATAATGTAAGAAAGGCTGATATGGGTATCAGAAGGGCAGAATGTTAAATGAATCTGCATGTCCAATTCTTTATCCTTTGAAAATTAAGTAGATTCATTGGTTCATACATCATGAAAACAGTACAATTCATGTTGATCCTTCTAGAAACCCTAGCTGCTGTTGCTGTTTTCAATGATTCTTATTGTTTAATACAAAATTCTCGTTATTTGTGAACTCATTCATTGCCAATCAACTCTTCATATATTTCTTGGTCAATTCTGTTTGTTTCACTAGGTTGTTTAATGTGGAAAAACTAATGGCTTTTTTTCTCATTGCTTGATTTTTTTTTGTAATTTCACTATGTTTTTTACTCTGGGAAAACTGATGTCTTTTTTCTGGTTGATTGGTTTCTTTTCAACATCCACATTTCTTATTCTTTTTCTTCTTCTTATCATCACCATCATCATCATACATTTGTAAATATCAGCGTGAATTCTAGCAATTACCATTACAGTTTGTCGCGACTTATTAATGCTGCCACACAGTTGTTCTTAACCTGCTTTTTCTGTTTTCACTTCTTTTTTTGATTTTTGCATCTGCCTTAAAAGGTGGTTTTATTGGCAAGGATAATTTCCAGCAAATGCTTTATCATTGGCCTTGCTATAAGGGTAACACTGCCTTATATGGTTAGCCGCCAGTTTTTTAATGCAAAATTTTCTTTTTCTGTGTTCTGTAATTTCACATAATGGAGACATCCACACTATGTTTGCATTTCTGCTCAAATAAACATGTATAACTTTTAACACGCTTCTTTTCTAAGTTTAGTGAACTTTTAGAACGCACAGAAATAACTTTCTGACATTTAAAATTTAGTTTACTAATTGAACAGTGAACAGCCAAAGTTACATTTTAGCCATTTGCTTTCATGATTGAAGACACTCTAATGTGAGGACAATCTGGCACTTCTTCCCTTGTGATTTGCATCAACATCCATTAAGAGTTTGTAACAGTGTAACTCCAAGTTCACTTCATTTTCCCAAAGTACATTCAGAGGGCCATGAACTGTCACACTAATGGCTTGAGCTGTTTTGTAAAATCATAAGCTGTACTGACTGCTCCATAAGTATTCTCCAGGCTCATACAATAGCTTTGGATGTTATTTCTTCTTTTTCTTTTATGTCTAGATTTTAGCAAAGAGACCCATTTTTATTTCTAGCTCAATGACCAGTGATTTTCTGAAGATTACTACACAGAAGTGAACAACTTTTAATCATTAACTTTCCAACAACAAAAATAGTTGTTTTTTTTCAGCAGCTAAATTGTAAAATCTGTTAAGAGTAACCAGCAGCTCAGTACTGATTTCAGATTTCATTTGCTGTTAGAAATGTTTGATTTTTTCAAGATACGTTTTTAACATTATTTATAATATTTAATTTGAATTTTTTACATCTTTTGTACAAAATTTTGTAGACTCTTTCAGTTTTCTTTTCCTTCTGCATTAATAAACAAGTATAAGTTAATGTACAAGTCTGTCAAATATTCCTCCAGCATTACTGATATAATCTGGACAACTCAGTCTTGAAATCTCTGCATTATCAAACCATTTGCCTCATGATCTGATGGTTAAGTGTTTGCTAGATGGCTGTATCGTTCGGCTCATGAGGGCAGTTTTTACAGAGACCCCTGGGGATCATCACTGAAGCCTCAGAGTTCGTTCTTAGTGCAACGCTGGGTGCCAACCATCCTGCAGTGAGAGACTGAGCCATATGGGGTAGAACCTGGTGTAGGAATGTCAATCCGCTCTACTCTAACTGTAATCCCTGCATCAGACAAAGGTAAAGGTGACCCTTTTCATGCCAGTAGCACATCAGGCAATTAACCTAGCAGCGTTCAAAAGTCACAAGATCAATATTATAATACGCCTACTACCTTTACTTCTCAGGATATTGCCTGGTACTAGGGTGACCATAAGTCTCGTTTTTGCCTATTTAAGTAGGCCCAGACAGTTCCATCTTTACTTTTTTCTCTCTGATCAATAGGGACAATTTTTTTTATGTTTAATTTTTAGTATCCATTGAAAAAACTGCATGCCTAAACAAAAATGATAATGTCCTGGCAAATGATCACCTTACCTGTTACCCATTCCAGGCTTAATCTGCCTAGGAGCCAGTATCTTTACAATGTAAAATTTGCCTGTTTCTGATTCTACTCCAAGACTTTCAGGCGGGAAGCTGAGCGGCTAGACAGTATGCAACAGTGGCTCCCAACCTCAAACAGTTTCACTCTTTTAGTCCCAGATGTAAACAGTTTTTTGTTTTACAGCTTTACTGCAGTCAACTTATTTCAATATTTTAGCCCCAGAGACGATTACATTGATTACATCTATCATAGTGTGTCAATCCCTGATGATTTTTTAACTCTTTACTGTTCCAGTAGTTAACGTTTTGACTTATTTAGTTAACATTTTGACTTTCTTCTTGAGGTCGATTGTCATTTCTTTAAAGTAGCCATTGCCTATGATTGAAAGAATTATTATAAAATATGTAGAATAAAGTCTGCCTTCAGGTGTATTAAGCTTACAGGGCTAGACCTATATAATATGTATCAATCAGCACTCAGTGGGTGATGTCAACATCTTGCCGGCCGCCTTTACTTCTTATGACTGTACTTAAATATGTAGGGTGTCAAATACATTTATTGTTCATTGTTCAGTGTAGAATATGTTAAAGAAAGAATGAACTACAACATACATAGCTACAACATACATACATGCCTTCACACAATGTTATATTTGTATGCAAAAGCTGTTGCTGATCTTTCCTGTAACATCCTTGTGACATTTAACATTTCATAGCCATATTGCATTTTTAGTTTTGTGATAAACTTGTGCACAAACAAGGCAACCAGACCCAGGTAGAGAATAGACATGGACAGAAAATCAATAGCTGTGAGGGAAGCCATGGGCAGCTATTTCTGAATAAACTGATTAAATTACTCCTGGAAGCCTGGGAAAGATGTGTTTTGTGCTGGAGAAGTTGGAAAGATTCATCACAAGTAGATAACAAGGAGTTTGGCCATGTACAAGATTGGCAACAGACAGCACACCACAGATAGCAATGATATACACATACAATGGATCTAGAGGTTGACCACACAGAAGATGATGCACATAAATATTTTAGCCACTGAAAAGTATTGTATACAAAGTAAAAGAAGGGCCCCTGTCAGCGATGTGTTATTGACCTGATGCAGCGAGGCATTCCAGGTGTAGAGAAAAGAAAGAAGAAGATAACAACCAAAACGTGGTCATTTTGAATAATCAACATCACCTTTATTATTATTATTATTATTATTATTATTATTATTATTACTGCTTACCCTTCATTAGCAGAACAGTGAAAAGAAACAAAGTAAAACACAGCAAAACTGACTGAAATTACTATATTACTGTTTTCAAATATTATATAAACAATTGAAACAAATAATGAAAAACAGCAGAATTATATAAAATAGTGATACTTAGCTTGAGCACAGTGAATTTTGTGATTATACTAGGATTACACTTGCAGTTGGGTTGTCCTTACCTCTCATTCATTTATTTATAGTCACCATTTTTAACAGTCTTTGACTGTCTAACCCGCACTGTTGCGGTAAGGAAGAGAGTTGGTTATAATGTAAAAAAAAACACACACACACACAAGAAAAGCAGTTATTAGATGTATCAGTAAAATTAGTTAAGAGGAAAGCTCATACACCTAAAATCTGTTAAGACCCAGATGCAAAAGAACTTTCAGTTGATTTGTTGAACGCTTTTGTGTTCTTGCATGTAATCTGAATAATTTCACTCATTAAAATACAAAGATTTTAAGTGTCAAAATGCCCTGTATGGGCCGCAGGGCCTCATTGTAGGGTAAACAAGGATATACCTACTACCTCTCCAACAAGCATGTTGTAAGAATAAATTCCTTTGAAGTCAGATTGCAATTGCCTGAGAAGCAAGGAACCACAAACCACCACCATTAAGAAATGACATTTTTTATTTTTACCTATTCAGAACCCCAGAAATTACACTATTGGCCCATACATAACACTGACAGTCACACTTCTGACTTCTACAAAACCCTATAAATTACACCTTTTAAAGATAAATACTGCTTAAGTATGTGTGTGTACCCAAGTGCACGTGCATATACGGGCTCTTGGTAATAGTTGAATGTAAGTGCTCGCTTTATTGCCTATCTTTTTCAAGCAGTTAATTGTAAAAAACTTTTAAAAAGTGTCTACTACATACTATGTTTACTATTGTATTTAATATTTTTTTTTTACCCATTTGTCCTTTAAAGTTGTGTCTGTCAAATGTGACCTACTAGAGAGTAAGTATTGGATGAGATTGGAGTGAAATATTATTTTTTTTAGCCACCAATAGTTGAATGGTAACTTGCCATAACCCAGTAGAACCATACCGGACCTTGTACCATATCAGTTGTGTTTTTTTTCTTTCTGTGATTGAGGATTGAAATGTTGTCTTGATTGATTTAAGCTGAATAATTTTCACCGTTTGAAAATATTACAAACCTATATACCAGTATTACTAACAGAAATAACTGTTATATTTAAATTTATTAATTTGATTTGCTTAGTAATAGTGTATGCTTT